GGCTTTTGGAAAAATTCATTGGACAAAAATATAAAAAAATACAAAAAAATTCTCACAGACACAAAAAGTAAATTGTTTACTTATTTGTTTCAAAATATTTTGTCGGCTTGTTCATGCGTGACTCATTAATCACGAAATCATGTCCGAAATTGAAAAGGTCAACATTTTCGATTATGAATGCACACATGATAGACATCAAATGTCAAATGGACTTAAAATCAAAGAAGCTTTCATTCCAAATATTGATTTTTGTGGCATTTGAAGAATTTTTCATTAAATCTCTAAAATTGTTAAACAAAAATTTCTCAAAAAACATTCGAACAAAATTAAAATCTTTTCAAGAATGTCTCAATTCAAATTACATTCCTATTTGCCTCAAATTTCATGCTTTTCATCTGCATCAACTCCTTTTTCAAATCAATTTTCTTGAGAATGTAAACGAACGCTATTAAACATCAATCATGTAATATAAAGGAATGATATGTAGCATGTAAAAGACATTATATTGATATCATGTAATGTGGAATGGATACAAAGACAGATAAGTCTACATATTCAACATTTCAATGCGTATTTTACACCAAATCAAGCTTTATAAAGCCACGAGTGTTTTAAGTCAAAATTTTTTTTTCTTCAAGTTTTTTGAGTTTTTAAGGAATAACGAGCAGTCATGAAATGGCCAAAATTTAATTTCAACTTTAATTTGTTCTCGTGAACTTCTGAAATTTTATTGTTTAATGAATTAGACAAACCCCTACCACTCCTAGTTTGTAAATCCTGTCAGTAAGGAACGAATTTTGTTGACATAATAAATAAAAGACTTCCAAATAATGCGCCCCAAACCATTGAATTTAAAGCAAGCCCAAATTAAACTTCCTTTATTCACATATCCTATCTATCACTCATTGCCATGTGGGGAATAAAAAAGTACTGAACAAGCAAGAAGAATTTCGAATTGAGTATAAAATTTTCATCAAACTCAATTCAGCAAATTCAATTTTGAAAGCACAACAATGGAATAGAAAGAAATACATAAATACATCACGTCACTGTTTGTGTGTCTATTGTTGAAAGTTCTCGTCTAGAAAATTTTTTTCTCCTCATCTCAGCAAATTTTTCATTTCTTAGTAAGAAATTCATCATCCGGTAAATACACAAGTAAATTACATTTGTACAAAGTGTTAACACGATAACACAAAAAAGAAAAGAAGAAGAATTAGGAAAGTGAATTTTTTTAAAGGAATGAACAGAGAAAAAAAATCGATTTTTTTCGTTCCTATTTCAAATGAGGCCGTTTCCTTTCATTTGAGGCAAACGTCTTAAAATGGAAAAGAAAAAAATAATAAAGAAAGAAAGAAGTTCAAGGTCATTTGCGGAAGCATTTGTAGCTGTCAGAGAGTATCTTTTGCGGAAATGTTTCTCATTGATTTTGATCCTTTTCTGTTCCATTCTATCTAGATGTGTCTTTATGTACACCATTTCCATAGAAAGTCATAAGAAAAACTTCCTCAAATCCAATTTTTTGTTAAGCGTAAAATTTTATTTCTGAAATTTCTTTTCTCATTTCTTTTGTGTGATTCTCTGTCATTCTTGATTTTTTTGTGAAAAGAGCAGAATGGTGGAGTTAAGTAAATCGAAATGAATATTTTTTAAACTCCTCGCATTTGAACTTTGACTTCAGATTTAAGTTTTTAAAGAAAGTTTTCATATTTCAGGGGTATTAGTGTGTTGAGAATGAAATCTTTAATTCTTTAAAAAATCATACAAGACTATTTTGTTCCCATCCACCAAATGCCACCATCACCTTCAAATCCCAATTTCTGTCGAGTGATAATAACACAAGAAGAAAACTTCCCGTTCTGCACCATCAAAAAAATTTTTTTTTTCATCACATAAAGTTGTAAAAAGTTCATGTAGCGACAACATGGCATGAGGGAAAATTGGATATTTTTTTCTGTGCTCATCGCCTTGGATCTTTAATCTGAATGAACAATGCAGTTACACACATAAATGGTTAAATACTGATAGAACTGAAATTCTATGTGATGATGAAGTTTCCGTTCGCTCTGTATGTCTTGAATGCGATTCTTTTTTTTCGGAAAGGATGGATAAAAATTTTGTTATCAACTTTTATGCTTTTTCTTTTAGTTTCTATTGAGAATTTTTCTTTTTTCTTGCCAAGTAGGTGCTGATAGTGCTTCTATTCCTTCTGTCATGTACAACATAATGTTTTTATTGAATTCTTTTGTTTCTCTTCAGTTACATTTGTTCGTATTTTATACTTTTTCTGTTAGCTTCATGACTTTCTGATCAGTTTAGATGTTTTAGGAGAATGTATGTGTTTTGTGGTCAGGAAAAGTTTTGATCCCAATTTTCATTAATTGTGTTAGAGCCAGAGGCGAAGCAATGTAATGATTCGAATTTTTCGAAGGAGGTTTGATCTCCACATGCATGGATAATCTATAAGTTAAAAAAAAACACAAAACGCATCTTAAAATAATTTAATTCTAATATTTTAAAGATTGCGGAACCAAATTCATAAAACCCGACACCTCTAATTCTCTTCTGTCTAAGCATCACACAAATGAGCAACTCCCAGAATAACCAAACTCATGTAAAATATGTTCATAATCTAAACTACACACCTTTCAACACATTTTTACGTACCCAAAAAATTAAATTTTAATTTGGGTACAATGCAAGAGACCAAGGTTAACAACCTAAATTGTGTCTACAAAAAATTTCATAACCGAAAATTCCATAACTTAATAATGATGAACATTTGAATCTTTCTGTTTTAATAAAGATTAATATTTTATAAGTTGGCAAACATTTTTTTAGTTTTCGTAGAAAATTTCTGGCATCAGATTTTTTCTCGGAAGTTCCATTATGATGTAAAATATTTACATGAAAAGAAGAAAATTTTTGAATGTACAAAAAGAAAATTTAATTTATCAAAAATTTTCCAGGTATGAATATGGTAAATCCTTAGCTCAAAAATTGAATGAGAATCAAAGAATTTCAAATGAAGGCAATAAATTATTCATGAAAAAAAGTTCTTGGAATTAAGGGCAATATTCACTCTGACTGCTGAAATTTAATAATTCAAAATCCAGATGATTTTACAAAGCTATAAAATTTCATCGTCGTAAAGTTATTGTAGAATAAATTCTGAAGCTTCCTCACTTTAATTTTGCATGAACAGCAGTTTTTTGCTGCTACACACACGTAGGTACACACCATAAAAGTGAGGATGAATGATATGGAAATTCTTCAGGAAATACAACTTCCGCACGTGTTGCTCAAAATAGATGACAGAACAGGATGTGGATTGGTCAACAACTTTTTCTTCCTCAGATTTTTTTGATAACAAATATTTATATCTGGATTATTTATTTATGAGTGCATACTTAATTGAATAACCAAATATCATTTCTTGTAACAAGCATGCAAAGGGATTAGTTTTGGAGTAAAAAATGCAATATTATGGGGAGATGGCAGGTTGTAGAAACTGAAAAAGAATGGAGGGTATAAAATTATGTTTGCATTCTTTAACCTGCTGAATGTTATTATGTAACGAAGGTTGGGTTCGTACCATCTTGAATTTTTTCAAGAAAAAAAAAATACTTTTCGAGGGTTTTGTTTACAAAGAAATACATCAGGAAATTCCATCCACACAAAGTTATCTTTAAGATTTGATTGAATAAGTGCAAAATACAATAATAAAAATGTTATCACAGGTTATTACATTAAATAATTTAAATCACTTTTGATAAATAATGACTTCATTACGTATGCAGATTGTCGAAGCTTCAAGAAATCTTTTTATTCTAATTAAGCTAATCATTTAAATTAATGCAAATTATTGACGTAAATTGGTTTTGCAATTTCAAAAGATTGAGTTTCTAGATGAATTTTGGAAAATCTTGCTCATCATTTTATCATAAAATTAAATAATAACAAATTGTGGAGTCCACTTTCTGAAAAGATTTTTTAATACATTCAACTGGAATTAGAAGAAATGCTTGTCAAAAGATTTTACAAAAACTCTTAATACCTATTTTTAAAATATTTGAAAATTTATAATAAATACAACGTTACTTTACAGTGTCATCAACAAATGCTCCCAAGAGAGAAATAATCCATAAAATACAACAGAAATTAAAGTAATTTAAATTCAAATCACATGCACAAAACTTTATGTCCTTTTAAACTCTTCAAAAAACTTTTATATTACTTCTCCCTTCAAAGTCCTTGTCCCAAATTCCAATGAATATCTAATCAACATATTTGGTCATCATAAAACTGTTTTATTGTCAAAGATATTTCTAGTTGAGTGATTTTCTGGGTGATTATTGATCGATGAATAAAGGGGTGAAGTTAAGAATTTTGAATTTTAATGAATATCAAAGAATTTAAATTAAGATTTAAAGATTGTAAAAGTTTTGAAAACTTTATGATTAATTTCAGTACTTTTTTTGTATTTTTTTAGATTCCAGAAGAAATAACTACCATAAACCCCCGCAATGCAAAGATAGACAAGGCATATAAATTAAAATTGAAGCGCACTTTCTCTCATTCACATTTCAAAATATCACACATATCCGAACATATCATGAAAAATTTATAATTCGAATTTCCATTCATAACAACCAAGAAAAAAAAAAGAATCTAAAAATTCGCATCGTCCACAAGCATGAATATGAATATTTTCATTTGAAATGGCATTAAATTTTTTTTATTTCAATCGCAAATTGAGTAATCCTCAGACAACTGTCACCCATTCACTGATTACAATTTGTATGCGGCTTGAAAATATACATATCCATTTCTGAGACTATATTCAGGTAAATGAAATTTTCATCTGTGAATGGAAACAACAGTAGTCATGCGACATATATAAAATTTCGTAATAGATGCGGAAACTCATTTATAATCGGAAAATGTCCGAGAAAGAAAATTGTTTTTGCAGCATCCCTACCACCGAAATTGAAACTCACCAAAAATTCGTGCCGCTCTGCTGAATAATCCAAATAACAATAATCCGAAATGTATTTTAGCGAGAAAATTCATTTTCTGTAAAAATATCACTAACGTTTTATTTTACAACACAATGAATCCACACGCGCCTTTTTTTCGATTTTATATATATAATATATGTTAGAGCCTTGTATTCTGTTTTTTTTTCTCTTTAAATTATAGATTTTCTTCTTTATCTGACTCGGCAGGCTCTCTTACCGATTTTGAATTTATCTTATTTTTTCACTTATTTAAATGCGATTTTTCTCTCTCATTTCTTTATTATTTGCTGAGCTTTTATGATTTGGATATGAGTTAACAAAAAATAATATTAAACTGTGAGAAAATGAATTTTCATTATATTCGGTGTCATCGTGACAATGACTATTTTCTTATTCTGGACATTATTTTTTTTATTTTCACTTTCGCTATTTTCTATGCGTATCATTTTTAATGTCATTTACGTGACATTAGGTGTTCCCATCTTCAAAATAGTATGTATACACTCTATTGGGTCCCTTTTTTCTGTTGTTGTGCCTTTTCCAAAATGATTTATAATTTGATCATTGAATCGAAATGGCATAAAGACGGACAGAATTTTTGGTATGTCATTAATGTGATTTTCTTTTAACTTGACATCTGATATTTATGGTCAATTATTCTTTAAAGAGGTTAAAATCCTCAATCTAGTTATTTTGAAATTCTTCACATTTTTAATACAGCACAAAAAAACTGCTCTTATTCACTCCAAACAAAATATTCGGAAAATTTACTTTAATATCCACCTTGCACTTGAAAAAATTATTTTCTTCTCACATCGCTGCAAGAGTAAAAACGGTTATGGTTCTATCTCATCTAATGACAACACGGAACTGAAACAAATCCGTCGAAGGACTCGATTTTTATGACCCAATTTTTTCCACATCTTCACGATAGAATTGCATTTTCCAATTGGAATTTCCACATTCCTGGAATGCGCCGTTGGAAAATCCAGCACATGCGCAGATGAATCAAAACAAAAAATTGCAATGTGAATTTTTTTGTATGTATCTGTATTTCATGAATGAGCGGTGTGTGGTAATTTATACGTGGGAAAATAATGTAAATAATTTTGAGTGTTTCTTAATTATCAAGTTGCATTTAACATGCTCGGTGTTATATGGAGCAGCAACCGGAAATGTACTTTTCCGTCAAAGTTTCTCTCCTTTAGTTCTGTTTGTTTAATTGCTAATTAAATGAACTTTTCTGTTTTTTTCGTTCTTTTCGTTTCTAGATTTTTTTCAGTTTGTGAAAGTTTTTAATTGAATATTTTTGTATTTGATGTGGGTTTCTTAGTATTTCCTAGCATTTTCTTAAACTAGAAATTGAATTTCGCACGCAATAAATTTTTATCCATATCTAGAAATTTCATTCAGTTTTGATTAGCAGAAATTATTCATAAAATCTTTTTTTTTCGATTTTCTCATATTTAAAAGGGAATCTTTCATTCATTTCCATTAAGAACAATTTTCAAGTAATTTCCTGAATAAGAATTAAGAATTATTATCAAAAACAAATTTTCGTTAAAAAGTATTAAAAAGTTTTTTATTTCCTCAACAAAAATTTTATAGAAAATATTCTTAAATTTTTAAAAAAGTCTTTAAAAAGTCTTGCCTTGTTAAAAATTACATTAATTTAAACGATCTCTTCCTTCTCTTATCATCCTACCAAACGTCATTATAGTCAATTTTCATTCCGATGTGATAATGGCTTAACGACTGAATATGGATCAGCAAACGAAAAAAAATACTAACATTTGGTGTCGTCAAGACTATCCTGACTTCAAAAATCTTTAATTGTTCCTATTTTTCCGTCTAAACTATTTCTTTCATTAGGCTCATTTTCCAGCAAAGAAATGTCCCCTAAAAATCTCATCAGCAAATCTACAGACACATTAAGAAAATTACCTAACCAATCTAGCACCGAAAGCATGAAGAAAAACAAAAAGTAAGGAAATAAAATTATCGTTTTCATTTTGTTTACATTTCCACTTTTACCCTTTTTTCTTCTATTTCATTCCACAGTCATCCGTCCGATATGGATGTTGTTATTATCATCAATTTTCGACGCTCCTTTTCTGCTGCCTTCTCGCTTTTTTTTTCTGTAGAAGAACCGATGAGAAAAAATACAACAAATGGCAATCCAATATTGCAAAAATTGAATTCGAATTAATTTGGACGTGATGAACATAGGAAAACAATGGAATTTAAGATGTAAAGGAAGAAAACGAGTTGAGAATGTGTTTAAGTTAAAAGGGTAGGAAACGAATTTTCACAGCTGAAAATTATGATTATTTGAGTTCATAATTCCATAAGTTTAGAATTTTGGTAAGAAGTCTCAAGAATCGACCACAATATTTCCTTCCTGATTTTTACCTTCATTTTACTGTGCCAATCCCGCTTTACATCACTCAAAGACAAAAAAAAACTACAAGCAACAAGCTTTTCTCCAAATAACCAGCATAATTGTAAAATGAATAAGAGATGTAATCTTGAAATTATATTACAAGAGATAAAGTCAGAACAAATGAAACAACAATAGAATAAGTAAAAGAAGGTCTCGAAATAATAAGAAAGATAAGTTCGTTTTGCCCACACATTAAGAAAATGAATTGATACACACGCATGTATCAAATCTCTCTTGTGTAATATAGTCTCAATTCTCATGGTGAAGATTTTTCTTGTTTTGTCTTGTTGCTGACTATTGTAATATTAAACAGTCTATCTTATTCGATTGGATAAGAAGAAAACATTAAAGTCTATACATTATTTGTACATTAGCATAAGTTGTGTGAAGGCACGATCCTATGAAGTACGAATAATGTAGGATGGGAAATAAAACAAGAGAAAAAAGTTTCAATGTAAATAGCACAATTTATCATATTTCACGAGAGTGTTGAGTTTTTTCATTCATTCGGTATAGACATAGGCTGAGACTTTATTGAAAGTTGAGTTTTCATTCAGATTTTTTTCCTCTTTCATTCATTATTTTAAAGAACTGCACGGTTTTGTGCTTTAAAATAATTGTTTTCGTAAACATTGAAGAAGCTTGGGTACAAAATCCTGTAAAAATAAGTAAATATATTATTTTGAACCTAAGCACCTTAGTAGAACCAAAAAACCGGAAGGCCTCCTGACCTTAAAATACAAGTACCATTTTCAGATGTTCCACTCAATTTCCCTCTTTATTTAAGTCTTCTTTTTCCTTTAAGTATAAATTCACAAGTACAAACAATTTTTGAATAACAAAAAAATAAAAAATAAGCGGAAACAAATTTCAACTTCTTTTTTTATCGCATTCAATATGAATTATGCTTCTTTTTTCCTCTGGTTTTCTCGGTTCGCTTCCTTTTGATATGTTTTTGTTTTCCAGTTGTTTTAAGAACAAATAAAAGTGGGTAGAGACTTGGAGGTGGCATAAATTTTTTTTAAATCAAATGTTTTGATGAAAATTGGGATTAAGGAAGGGGTTCAATTATAAATGACGTTCATCTATTGTGTAATGTAATCTTTTAATAACCAGCTTCATTTAGTATCCATTTTCATTTCATTCTTAAAATCTCGTGCATATTTAAAACGTTACATTACATAGGACACAAAAAGTTTAGAAAGCCTTACACCTAGGGTGACCATCTGCGTAGTTTTACAACGGACAGTCCTGCATTTCAAAACACTGTCCTGTATAAATTTGAAAATTTTGTTCCAGGTCCTGTATTTTTTTCACGAAAATTTCCATTAATTTTCAAATTTTCCTTTGTGTCCTGTATTTTTTAGGAAATTTATCAAATGTCCTGTATTTTCATAAAAATTAGATGGTCACCCTACTTACACCTCAAATTCTTTGCAAAGAAAATGTTTTACAGCATAAGAAAAGTCAACAAGTTAATCATTTTTTCAGGCATTTTCAAGATTTTTTTAGCGCAAACTCAAGGTAGGAGTGGAAATTGTAAATATCAATTTAAAACCATTTAATACAAATCTCAATCTCAATCATAAAGGCATGAACATTTCAGTACATAAAAAGGTTGTTGGAAGTGGGAGAAAAAAAAGAAAAAAAAAAAGAATTTTAAACAATTAAACTTTTGTCGCTGCTTAAATGGGAAAGAACATGGTGGGAAAAAAATTTGAATGTAAAAAGTTCTATTTATTGTTTGATAACGACTTGAAAGATTTTTCATAATTTCCTGGCATTCTGTTTTTATGTAAATTTAATTTTGTTAAAATTTTTTTTTCTTCTTTAACTCATGAGCTGAGTTACCCAAAAAAAACTTTCAAATTTAATGCTTGTGTTGAATGAGGAAAGTACTTGAAAATTTAAAATATTTGTTTTTACTTTATGATGCTTACATGTTCGTAATAAGCATAGAATAAGCGCATAGCAATTTGAAGTTCAATTTTATTTTATAAACAAACTTACAGATGTACAGACCTTGTTTGAGAAATTAAAGTTTAAAATTAAAGGTTACAAAATCAGTTATCAATTTTACAAAAAAAAAAACCTTAGAACCAGCATTTACATGCCCCTTCATACACCTCATTGCATACATCTCTGACCTATTTTATTGAAGGAAACATGTCATTAAAAGAAATGCCAAGGAATATGCAAGAAATATTGAAAAATTCCAATTGCAAAATTTTTCTTTCTAAAAGATTTTTCAGTATTCATGTCCTATTCAGAAATACTTCTATTGATTGAATAGGAAATATGCAAATGCATTTAAATCAGTATAAATACTTATCTCAATACAAATTGTACAATTTCCTATAGAGAATGTGGGCAAAAATCTTCAATTATCAATTTAAGTACGAAAAGACGAACTTATAAAACTGTAATGTCATATCAGAAGGAGACTCTACCTTCATATCTTGCTTAAATGATAAAGTAAAGTGAAAAAAAGAAGAGTCTTGAATGCTCTAAGATCTTCCATTCCAATTAACTAGCAACAACTTTCAAACTTGCTTCTTCCCAGCATTTCAATTTTCATCCCCATTTCTTCATCTTTTTCCCAATGCATCCGAATAAAAAATTCAAGTTGATGAAATTTAAAAATTGAATAAATAAGTGACTGAATAAAAAAAGAAAAGAAGTAAGTATGGAAATAAGTTGTGATATTTGAAGAATTTCTTTCAATATTTTTTCAACTTCTTCGTCACTTTCTTCATCTCAATGCAGTATTGCAATACATTTCATGATACTTGTGTATCTACACATAATATTTGAACATATAATGCTCTATGATGAAAATGAAAATTTTCAAGATGATGAAATTTAAATAAATTAAAGAACAATAATATGTGCTTATGGTTAAGTATATGAAGCACATTTGATACTGTTTCAACATTAAGATAGTGAGTTGAGATGAGACAGAATTGGATCTTGGAGTCAGTTTCTCGATTTTAACTTGATATATTTAAATACTGTTCTTATGAGTTCTAGTTTGAATTTACAAGATCATATCAAAGTTTTTTAAAAGTTTTTCGTTCTTTAGACGATTGTGGTGAATTTCCAAACCTGAATGCACTTCTGAAAACATATAACTCATTGAGTGTTTGAAAATAAATGTACGATTAAGGAAATGGAAGTTAGATGAGAAATTGCGAGAAAACATTAATTAATTATTCAATGAACCATATGAATTTTTCATTGTCTGTGTCTATGCTTGTTTTACTGTCTGAGTAAATTATTTACAGTTAGGAATTTTTGATGATGAATAAGCAGTTTAAAGGCTTATTTTACAAAAATAT